ATATAATAATAATAATATAATAATAATAATAATAACTAATAATAAAATAATAATAAATCATTCTATAACACTATATTTTCAATATAAAATTTTTTCTTCTTTTGTCCAATTTTGGTAAAGTAATCTATGCAAAGAGTTCTTTTAATAATATATAAATCTAACAAGACCAATATAAATAATATTCAAAAAGAAAATAATTGATATATAATATTATAAAATATATAAATGATATAATACCAATATATAAATATTATTATATAAGCTTAATATTAAGAAAATAGCTTATAATTAATAAATTTAACTAAGATTATTAACCAATAGTTACATGATTTAATAAATATCAAGAAGATATAAAAATAAATAACAAACTTTTAAAAATATATATATACTAGAATGATATTTAGTATATTAATAATAATATATACTGATAAATTACAATCTAATAAATTTCTTATAATAACTACTATTAAATCAAATTTATAACTTTTTAGAAGTGTAAAGGTATTAAGACTTTTGCTGTTGTTACAAAGACCTTTTACATTTAAGGATGCTATTTTTATAAGATGTTCTCTGCTCATACTTCAGATTTAGTGTTTGGAGATTGTTACTTTCTTTTAGTAAGGGCTTGACCTCTTAGAGCTGTCCACTGCTGATTTACTCTTCCTTTTTTTTTTGTGTGTGACTGTAGTGAAGCCTGCCATAGGTTCTTGGGAGGTACTTTCATTGCTAGTGCTTCAAGTTGGTTTTCCTCTGTTAACATGGATGCAAGTGTCGAATTTGAACATTCAGTTTCATCTTCAATTAGATTAAGCTCATCTAATGAGTATAATGTTACTGCAGTACTATTTTGATTGGGTAAGTCTTTTATAGATGATTTATTAGATGAATTGTGAATTTCTTCTATCTCTGTCATGTTAGAGTCAATTAAGTTCTTTGGAGCTGACACTTTATTCCTGTGATTAGATAAATTGTTTTTCTCTGTCTCAGTCACAATAGAGTCATCTAGATCATTTGGGATTAATGCTTCATTTTTATAATCGAATAAGCTGTTTTCTTTATTTGTATTTGGATTTCCATTTTATTCTAGTATTTGTGATTGTGTTTTAGCTAACCTGTTTACTTTTGTGGATTCCTTGTATTTTTATAATGCTGGATAAGCTTGATAGCTTCTTTTTGTTGAACACAATCATTTTTTAGATGTCCAGGCTTATTGCAAAAGTAATATAATTTTGGAGCATCTTTCCATTTTGTAATTATTTTCTGATATGCTATGCAGACAAATCTGGGTAACCTTTTCTGGAGATTGGTGTCATTAGTTGTTTCAAATGTAATAAGCCATCAGTCTGTTAGAATCAGAGTACTCTCAAAGAGTAGGAGTTTAATTAAAACAACAGTGCCTATATCTTTGAAGGTTTCTCTTATTTCTTCTGAAATAATTTCTTTATTTGCTATAGGTAAGTTTCTTAATTTAACTGTTAGAAATGAATAATTAGTTCTTGTAGAAATGTAGCCATAGAATGTTTGATTAAAAATTGTGATTCCTTTCTCCACACATTTTTTCATTGCTTTCTCATCTCTAAAAATCAATTCAAGGTGCATACGCACCCCTTTTAGAAAATGAGGTTTTGCATCTTTTAAGTCAGTTCCAATCTTACTATGTAATGTAATTACAATATCGTTTATTAACAACTCCTTAAGGTTGTAGATTTCAAAAATTAGAGCATTAAGGTTTTTTGTACTTATACTTTTCCTAGGTGAGAAGATAGAGAATGTGACCTAACCAGTTTTTACTTTAAATAGACTAGACTATTATTTGGGTTGGAAAACTGAAATTGAGTTATTTGTTCTGGCAGAGTTGTAGCCTTCATTATTATACTCTTGTAAATTGAACATAAATTGTTCAGATAATCTATTTTCTATAACTGTTGAATTTCTTCTAGAACTTTCTGTAGTACAACCAGTAAATTTTCCAATGAGTTGAATATATTATTTTCATTATTAGTTGGAGTTGCTAACTGTAGTAGAGCCACTTTAGATAGTTCTGATTCCAGGGCATCTGCCCAGTTCGCAGTCAATAAATTGTTTGATTTAGTGTTCCAAATTTTGTAGAGCGAGTTCTCATCTGCAGCTAGTGCCATAGTTTGTAATAAATTACTAGCTTCTTCTGCCTTTTCCTTTTTGCTTTTCTTACATGACCTTTTTGTATATAGTTGTTTTTTCTTGCAATTTCTTTATACTTAAGTAGTACAAGGGCAGATGCTCTTGTCTTTGATGTTATTACTCTTCAATAGCTGTTTGGAGCATTAATTTTCTTTTGTATGAGTCACCCGGCACCTACGCAGAGCAAAGTGACTGCAGAACTTTTTGATTTATATATATAGTTGATTTATTATTATTCAATCTAATTTTGAACTACTTTATATTATTTTTTTTCTAATTCAATATTGTTTTCTGTTGTTAACATGTTGCATTTCTTTTCTTCTTATATAAAACTTGACTTTTTAAGATCTTTTATTTTCATCTTATCTATTTGATTATTTAGAACAATGTTAGAGTAAAAATATTTATAAACATAATCTATATTAGCATTTATTTAATTTTGACAGATTTTAACTTGAATTTGACACATAGCTAACATTTTCAAATGTTAAAAATAAAATATAATTTTAGTTTTATATATAATTTACAGAAAAGTTCTAGCATAATTAATAATCAAAAACACAATTATACTAGAAAATATATAGCATTGTGGTCTGAAGCTAGGATGTTTAGAATTAAACAAAAGCATAATATGCATATAATTTAACAAATTTTTGCAATTGTAAATGCTTTACATAATCAGGCAAAAAAGTATACTTATCATGTAGATCAAATATAATTGGTTGATGTAAACATTAGGAGTACTATAAATTATTTTATATCAGTAATACTTAATTACATCAATAAGCTCATAATTGATAGTCAATCAAGCATGTGAAAATAAACAGACAGAATGCATGTAACACTATTGATTAATAACAGATATAAAAACAGAGTGTCTTCTACTATACTTCAGACAATAATATTTTGATATAAAATTTTAATTATAATATATATCAAAAACATTAACAAATTGATAATAAGTTAAAATTCATATAACTGTATTCTTAACTATTAGTAATACTAAAACTTTTAATTTATAGCTAGTTTTTAAAACATAAAGTTATAAATTATTTTGTATAAAAAAGTCTATAGTAGAAAATAATTGTTCTACTGAAACTAAATTTATACAAATTAAATAAATTTATAATGCAATATTAGCTAATTCTTATGATTTATTATATAAAACAAATATTCAATACTTTATAATAAGGGTGTGGGTCCCATAGCTTAGTGGTTAAGCTCCCATACCCTCCACAGTCAAGGTCAACGGTTCAAGTCTGGCTGGAGGCAAAATTGAAAGATTTTAGCT